GAATCAGTCTAAATGCTTATCATGAGTGGATAAAGAAATTATTACCATAGCCAGAAGTATCAAGGCTCTATGAACTGACTAAAGAAGCAAATTTTGAGGAAAGAATTCAAAAATAGAATTAATCAAGTATTCAAATATCTCTGGCTGAAAAACATCTTGGAACCCCTAAGTTTTAAGTATCCTGTTTCTCATCTACCAAGTGGTCACCATTGGCTATGGTTTTGGATGAAGCAAGAAGACCATGCTTAATCTTACCCCTTATAAATCGCATCGTCTTGCTAGTACTTAATGCATGTACTGTGTAGAATCATTTCTTATAACAATATGGTTATTTTTCAACAAGTGTTAATAGCAGATGCTGTGTCTGAATCTCTTTTAAAAGTTTCAGGACAGTATAAAGCTGAGGGTGAAGATGAAGAACCATTTGGAAAACCAGCAAGAAAATACACACTGAATGTAGAAATTCTTTTTGAGCCCCTGATGTGGCCTGTTTGGGGCCAGGCCCAGAGGAGTGGTGGGTCCTGCCGAACAGCAGTAACCTTGTTCCCATCATAAAATAATGGTACTGTGTCTCAGTCTCACTGTGTCTACTCAAAGTGGTCTTAGCTATCAGCAGTTGACAAGTTTCAAGTTGAAATGTAAAATATCAAGAACCAGTCAGGACATCTGTATCTCTTTTGCTCACAAAGGCACGTGGGTTAAAATTTGATCCAGTAATAGAAACTGCCAAGTGGCCACATTGGACCACGTACCCAGAAGATCAACACCCTGGCTTTGGTTTTGCCTTTATTGACCATTTGACCTTGGACAAGTAATGTCATCTCTCCAATTATGACGCTGCATTTATAAAGGTGAGTGACGTGTTTCATGGGTATCCTGCAAACTTGAGAAGATGAAATGAGGTGAAAGATGCAAAAATGCTCTGTTGATCATAAAGCCCTGCATCATCATAAGGCCACTCTTTAATATTTTCTATTGATACAGTTGATTTTTATTGTTCCTTATCAAAGAAAATCCAAAGATCAAAAATACATGAAATTTAAAAACAAAAATCTCCTGCACCAATGTTAGTCCCTAGAAGGGACCACATGTGACAATTTGGTGCTTATCTTTTATATACTTATGAATGTGTGTGTGTGTGTTTTAACAAAAAAAGAAATCTCATCCTAATAACCACTAGAATAGTATGCAGTAATTTTTTTAGGAAGATAAACTGTTATATACTGGCATGGAAAAATGACATTTTCTGTGAAAGAGTTACAAAACAGTTTTTATATTATGATAATATTTATGCAGAGTACATGGCTACCTCTGGGAAGAAAATATTGCAAAGAAGTGAAATAAATGTACTTTTTAACTTCACATTATTCTCTACTATTATTTATTTTATTATATGTAATATATAACTTATATATTATTTATTAAAATTTTATGTATTTTCACAAAATTATTAAAGACTGTCCAAGAGAAAATTGAGCATAAATCAACAAAGTGGAGAAAATATGATACTATCGAAGATGCAAGTATAAATAGTAGAGCAGAAAAAAAAAGTTTTGAATAGGGAGAATATACAAAAAGAAACTGGAAAATGGAAAAACATACCAGGTTCATGGCTGGGAAGAATCAACATTGTCAAAATGTCCGTACTACCCAAAGCAATCTACAGATTTAATGCAGTCCCTATTAACGCACCATTGTCATACTTTAAAGAACTTGAAAAAATGGTACTTCGTTTTTATATGGAATCAGAGAAAAACTTGCATAGCAAATACATTACTCAGAAATAAGAACAAATCAGGAGGTATCATGTTACCAGACTTCAGGATACACTATAAATCTGTAGTGATCAAAACAACATGGTACTGGCACAAAAACAGAGAGGTAGATTTATGGAACAGAATACAGAACCAAGAGATGAACCCAGCTACTTGTCATTTGATCTTCGACAAGCCTACCAAAAATATTCAGTGGGAGAAAGACTCCCTACTTAACAAATGGTGCTGGGTGAACTGGCTGGCGACCTGTAGAAGACTGAAACTTGACACCCACTTTCACCATTAACAAAAATTGATTCTCACTGGATAAAAGATTTAAACTTAAGACATGAAAGAATAAAAATACTAGAAAAGAGTGCAGGGAAAACACTTTAAGAAATTGGCCTGGGAAAATATTGATGAGAAGAACATCCCGGGCAATTGAAGCAACACCAAAAACACATTACTGGGACCTGATCAAACTAAAAAGCTTTTTGCATAGCCAAGAACACAGTAAGTAGAGCAAACAGACAAACTTCAGAATGGGAGAAGATTTTTGCAGGTTATGCTTCCAACAAAGGTCTGATAACTAGAATCTGCAGAGACCTCAAACCAATCAATAAGAAAAGAACAAATAACCCCATTTCTTTGTGGGCAAGAGACTTGAACAGAAACTTCCCTGATGAAGACAGGCACTTGGCCTATAAACACATGAAAAAATGCTCATCATCCTTAATCATCAGAGAAATGCAAATCAAAACCACTGTGAGATGTCATCTAACTTCACATCACAAAATCCCAAAACTATAGATGTTGGCATGGATATAGAGAAAAGGGAATGCTTCTACACTGCTGGTGGGACTGCAAGCTAATATGACCTTTTTAGAAAGAAGTTTGGAGAACACTCAAGGAACTAAAAGTAGACCTATGGCTCAATCCTGCAATTCCTCTACTAGGTATATAACCAGATGATCAAAAATTATTTTATAACAAAGACATTTGCACCAGAATGTTTATTGAAGCCTAATTCATAATAACCAAGACATGGAAACAGCCCAAGTGTCCACTGATTCATGAATGGATTAACAAACTATGGTATATGTACACCATAGAATACTATGCAGCCATAAAAAAAGATGGAGCCTTCACATCTATTATGTTTACCTGGATGGAGCTGGAACATAGTCTTCTTAGTAAAGAATCTCAAGAATGGAAGAAAAAGTATCCAATGTACTCAATACTACTATGAAATCAATATATAATCACCTACACACTCATATGAATGGCAAAACATAACTATAGTCCAGAAAGTAGAAGGGAAAGGAGAGAGAGGGGAGGGGGAATATGGGAGGAGGGAGGGCATTTGGGGGGACCTCACCTACTGTGCATGATGCAATGGTACATTTCAAAATTATTAAGAAGTGCGTATAATTGTGATGAATGTGTCACTTAGTTCAATGCAAGCATTTCACATTGCACATCAAAGCAGTACACTGAACCCAATAAATGCATCAATGTACAGGTTATGATTTAATAAAAAAAATGAAAAAAGAAACTGGAAAGTGAAATAAAGAAAGCAAAACTGAAAGTAGACATGATATGATTTTCAATTCTAGAGAATGGGAAAAAACTGATCATACAGTTTCTGCCTCCAACTTTCTTGTCATGTATGACTCTCAACAACAGGATATCAGCCCTGCTGCCTAAAATTTTTTAATGGCCCTATGGGCAAAAAAAAAAAAAAAACGCAAATAAAAGTTGGCACAAGGGTCTGCCAAGAGAGGAAGAAGAGCAAAATATTATCACTTTTCAATGAGTTTTACAGTTTAGAGTTTTCACGTCTCATATATTTTTTTTTAATGCAGAAGGCAGCCATACATTTGGAGGATGGGCAGAATGACAAGCTAATGGAAATCAAGCAACCCTGAAAAGAATGAGCATCCCTCATCAACAAATCCTGCTGTGTCTATGTTCAAAACTATCTTGAATCTATGCATTATTCCCATTTTGATCACCATCAACTTAGTTCAAGTTCATTCCTTCCTCTTTCTACCATGCTGGCCTCCTGCTTAGTCTCTCCATTTCCACTCAGGATCTCCCTCTTCCTCTGGCATTCCTTTTTTCCTTAAGAAAAGCAGATCGATCTTCTTAAAATGCTCATAGGATAAACAAAATCCTTCTCGTGGTTTCAAGGCACGGCACAATCTGCCTCTTGCTCACTTTCAGTTGCCTTTAAGGCTTCCAGTCATGCTAAGATCCTTTTCCCCCTCTTACCCATCGTTACACAGACTTCCCTATCTGCCTGAAATGCTCCTCTCCTCTCCCTCTATAGATTTGTCTCTCGCAAGCTTCCTCAAGCCCTTCCTCTACTAATCTAAACCAGCTCACAATTTCTATATGCATTTGTGTGGTATGGCTGTTATCTGACTTCCCAGCTCTGTTAAAGCTTCATAGTGACTCCTTAGGGGAGGGATGGTGGCTCACAGTATTATCCTCTCTCCTTTGCATATACTTTAAATTTACCATAACAAACAGCTTTAAAAGTTTTTTTTTTCTGAACCTACAAACTAAAAACATTTACCTTATTGTCTGCAATTCTCCTAAACTACTTTTTCAAATTTCACACTTAAAAATGCTCACTTTATTTTTCATGAATTTTTTATTATAACCCTATTAGAGCAACAAATTCTCTAATTTTTAAATGATTGCAGGAGGTTGGGCTAGAAGTCCAATGATCTATCCTTTGCACCAGAGAGCCAGGTACAATGGCATCACTTTTAACTTCCCAACAAAGTGTTGTTGGCAAGGAAGTGAACTTGAAATTAACATCACATAACCCAATAGAAAGGTCTGAAGTTCAATTCCCTTTCAATGTTTTTCTTACTAAAATTACTAAAATCTTTTATGTGAAAACAGCATTGTAAGAGACTTAAAATTTTTTATTTGAAAAGTACCCTAGAACAGGAATATCAGACTTCTAATCCGATTCCAGTTTCTTACTGAACTATTTTCCCTTGGTTTTGTTTGGTTTTTGTTGTTGGTTTATTTGTTTGTTTGTTTTAAAGAATTGATATAATAAAGAAGTCAAGCTCTGTAGTTTAATTTCAGATCAAAAATTCTACAATTTGGAAGAAAAAAAGCAGTCATAAACAGTATCAGTGTTTTTTTTTTTTTTCAAGTGAAGGATTAACTAAAAAAAATTTTTATTTTCTATTCATTCATAAGGTCATAATTCAGGCCTGCTGTTCATACTGATGAATCTACAAATCCAAGGCCAGGACTCACTGCATCTTCACCAAGAGATGAGATGCTGACATTCCCTTTTTCTGTGTTAACATATTTGTGCAGTGTGCTGTAGTACAGTTTATTTGGGTTGCAAGTATATATTGATGAGATTTGATGCCATTCTTCACTGCTTGGGATTTTGTACCCTTTTGATTGCTTGCACTCAAAGAAACATTTAACATTCTCTTTTGCCAGTCCAGTTGCATGCTCCGTGGTTTGACTTTTAAAGATCTTCTGCTCCTCTTCCAAATAGATTTTCCAGAATTTCCGCTGCTGAAAACTAACCGGAGATAGGCATCGGGAAATACAGGTGGCAATCATAAATATGGTGATGACAAATGCTATCAAGCTCCAGCCTGCCACCTTAAGAAAACAGCAACAAAAAAGACATTTAAAAATCCTCAGAAAAAGTTTGAACTAGTCACTGTTATGATGATGAACAAGTAACAGTCTTAATCCCTTAAAAGTAAAGAGTGGTCGTCACCTAGTCACCTCCCTAATCCCCCAGTGCAGTTGCTTAATTGGAAAGTCAATCATAGCCCAAGTCCTGTCAAGGGCTTAGAGAAGAGCCTATATCACTCCCTTAAAACCCAGAATGTGGAAATTCTGCAAATCTAATGAAAGGAACATCCCTTTTAAAGAACCTCCTAGCTTTACATGAGATCTGACAATTAAGTGCCCAAACTCATCCTAGAAAAGTGCTACATGCATTGATGAATATCACGGTGGCCACCTTCCAAATATTCCCCTTGAGAAGCTATGGGCCAATGCCAGTGTCTAGTGCACCCTTCAAAGCAATTTTGGAACTCTTTTTCTGGAATGGCCATCAGAGCTGTCTTTCAGCGCACAGAAAACGCGCGACAATAATGAAGGCCACTCAGCAAGACACCGCCACACATTGGTGGGAACACAGCTGTGAGACATTGATAGTCCAAGGCTATGAACCCTTTCTGGGTTTTTCATACAGTGCTGCCAACTAAACACAGGGTGGCATGTTAGTGAAACTTAACTGTCACACTGGGTAAGCCCAGAAACAATGTGGGGTGGAGGCTTTACAGCTAGGCTGAGCAATTTTACTGTCCGTACCTATTCAATTATCACAATTTGTCTGTATCTTCCTGGGTGGACAAGGAACTTTCCCCAGACTTAATGTATTGTATAGAGGAGATTCGATACTAAGACCCCCTGACAGGGCTCCTGCCAGACATCAGAGAATAACGCAGGAGGTAAAGGGCCTAGGGCGCATCTGGCACCGAGAAGGTGTGCCTGCTCTCAGGCCCCACGATTCATTTACAGGGCCACACACTTACAGGAATGCTTTTTCTCCTTTTCATTCGTTTTACTGGAATATTGTCCTGTTGGCCCGTTAGAAACAAGAAGCCATTCTAGATTTTCTTGGGGCGTCGCTGATCTCCCCCTCCCCACCGCCACCCCGCAGAGGCCCCGGCGTCCGCGCTGACCTGAGACTGAGCCTTGAGCGTTTTCAGCAGGTCCTGCACGTCGGACTCGGTGGCCTTATCGCAGGGCACCAGCGGCAGCTGGGTTGTGCAGTTCTGGTGGCGGCCGGAGCACAGGGACCCCGCCAGGGCCGCGATCCCGCTGGCCCCGCACTCGTAGAAGGCTCCCCCGAGCAGCGCCACCGCCACCCACGTGAGGGGCGCGAGCAGGACGGCCGCTGTGACTTCGCAACACACACAGACGGTGTTGGTGTTGCGCTTCGAGGCTCCTGTGGAGCTGGCTTTTGACTGGCAGCAGCCGGTCAGCGTGCGCCAGGGGCGCGCGTTCAGTAGCAAGCCCAGGAACAGGAGCGCCAGCGCTGGCACCAGCAGGAAGGCCAGGCTGTACCACAGGTTCCAGGCGGCGGTGCAGGGGCACTGGAACACGGTGGTGGAGAAGATGCGCTCCCCGCCCACGGTCAGCAGGGTCGCCAGGCCCAAGCCTAGCGCCTTGCGGTGCTTGAAGTGCAAGTCCAGCACCCCCTGAAACTTGTCCATGGGCCTTCTCTCGGGGGTGCGGTGCAGAGACCAGATGCTTCTGCCTCTCCCCCGACCTACTTGTCAAATGGCTGGGTGGGCTGAGGTCTGGGGTTTTCCTCAAGGGAAGAAGCAGCTCTTTAAAAGGCAAGAAGGCTTTCTAAGCCTACTTTAGGTTTCACTTTCCCCTCCTATCTGAAAAAATACAGGCAAATAAACACTCCCGGTGCCCTTGACCTCACTGCTACCCAACCCTTTCTAAAAGATAGAAGCTCCTTTCTCCCCCAGTTCAGAAACTCCGCCAGGAGATAGATCCTGTTCTGTTGTTACCATAGTTTCCGCCAATGCGACAAAGTCAGGGGACTTTCCTTACCCTTCCTGACCCAATGCAGTCAGTCACTTGGGCAAACTGGGAAAAACTGTTTTCCTTTATTGTAGCCACCCTACTTGCTAAAGAGGTGAGGGTTCACCTCTGAGCTGTTCAGTGGACCTGGTTCAGTTCACCCAGCGGAACTAGCAAGTTCAGCTGAGTCAAACAAAAGGAGAGCAAGAAATGGGGTAATGGCAAAATGAGGCAGCTGGGACTCCAATATAGATTAGAAGCAAAGGCAAGGCGCGGTGGCTCACACCTGTAGTCCTAGCACTTAGGAGGCGAAGGTGGGTGGATTGCCCCGAGCTCTCAGGTTCTAGACCAGCCTCAGCAAGAGCGAGACCCTTGTCTCTAAAAATAGCCGGGCGTTGTGGCCGGCACCTGTAGTTCCAGCTGCTGAGGAGGCTGAGGCAAGAGAATCACTTAAACCCAACAGTTGGAGGTTGCTATGAGCTGTGACATAATGGCACTCTACCAAGGGTGACACAGTGAGACTATCTCAAGAAAAAAAAAAAAAAGCAAAGTTTTATTTGAATGAAGAAACAGAATAAAAGAAAGTAGTGATGACTATAGATTCTTCCAAAGAGTGGAAAAGGGTCCCCCTGGTGAGTGAGAGGAGTCCCCACACAAAAGCAATACACAAATATTCGTACTTTCATCCTGATTCCTCCTACATTCATCTATAAGGATTCCCACTGGTTCCCCTTAAGGCCTTCAGGCAGGTTGTTCTGGTTTCATAGGTTGTACATTACCTCAGTAGTCACATAAATCCAATTTTCTTTACTCTGTTATCAATAATCATTAACTTATTTTACTAGTGATGGTATGGTATCTGTTAGTCTCGTTTTGTTTGTGACCACCATGGTGTGCATTGTTCTGTGACAGGGATCTTTATCTTTTTTTATGGGGGCATCATTCACAGGCTAGAGGACGTGGGTCATAGATTAGAAGTTACCCTTTGCAGGAACAGTGCATACTTGGTTAACTAGGTCACACCCACCCCAAATTTCTTCTTTTCCTTCAGCCTCCCCCCACCTTTCTTTTTTGAGGCAGAGTCTTGCTTACTCTGTCACCCAGGGTAGAGTGCCATGGCATCATTGTAAGCCTCAAACTCTTGGGCTCAAGTGATCCTCCTGCCTCAGCCTCCTGAGTCACTGGAACTAAATGCACCCACCACAGCACCTGGCTGTTTTTTAGAGACTGGGTCTCGCTGTGGCTCAGGATGGGCTCAAAGTCCTGAGCTCAAGCACTCAGCCTCCCAGAGTATTAGGGTACCTGGCCTTTCAGGGCCCTTTCTAACCTTCTTGTCCAAAGGGCCATAATTCTCCTTCACCTCCCTGTATCCACTTTAACTTCCTTCCATCCCTAAACACAAATGATTAAAAAAAAAATCTTGATCAATTATAGGAAACATTCAAAGAGAAATTTCTGGTTTCTCTTTTAGTAAGTTGAATCACAGTAAAGCCCAGTTTAAGTTCCAGTAATTCCCTGATGCCCTGTACCCTTCCTGTCTCCCCGCAGATGGAACCACCAGCCTAGTTCACACTGACTGTTTTCTCCTCTGCCTGATCTCACATAAGACGTTAGCCTGGATATATTGTATTGCTTTACTCATCAACACAGTTTTTCTTTTAAGTACATCCCAATTCTCTGTACCTGGTAGAGTTTCACATTGTTACTTTGTCACCACCAAGTTGATCAGCGCAGAAAGTGATTGTTCAAAGAGTACTGATTGAGAACAACTTCAAACTGCAGTTGTATCTAGCTAATGTCGCCTCCACATTCAGTTTTCTCAAAGCAGCATTGTTGTGACACAGACTGATGCTGAGCCTTGCCGTGTGGCTCCAGGGTAAAGAGAGGTGTGCTTGCAAACACACGGACTCTAAAGTCAGGTACACCATGTCTGTGTGTCAGTGTGCATGTAACAAGTGTGGCCTGCTAAGATGCACCATCCTCATTTGTAAAAGGATATCTTGATGGTTGTGATGAATTAATTGGGAAGCATATGTAAAATGCCTATGTAAATAAAGTGTCTATTAAATGAATACTCAGTGTGGGAGTTTATACCTCTTATGTTGCAACCTTGGGAACAGACAATAAACCTGTGTTGTACATTACTTAAGAATTCAAGTGAATACTAAATTTTAGACCAACAATTGTACTCAGTGACTCAATAACCCTCTACTACCTCAAGAGATTTGGTGTTCCCCTTAACTGCTTGCTTGCCATAAGGATAGTTTTCCTTCTGAATATGAAGTCTAAGTGGGCAGTTCATAATGACTGGGTTGCTGTTGACCCCCCACCCACTTTGCTTGCCTAATTTTATCTGGGAAAAATAAAACAAGTGAATTATTACAGAAGGGGCAAGAAACATACAAGTGTTCTTTTCTTAGTCCAACTTGCCTTCTTAACTACTCCCCCACCACGACTATCACCAGTGTGTAGCATAGTGCCACAAAAACACCAATCCACAGTAGTCTGATAACCCCAAGTTAGAGGCTTACCCCACATCAAGATTTTTTCATATTGCAGGACAGTGCTCCTCTCTGAGATTTGACCGGGGCCCTCCAGGTTCCTGTCAACTTGGAATGAAGCTATGTGTTTGAGACAAATCATTTGTGCTGTGACTATAATCTTTGCAATCCTCCAGCCCCCCCAAAGAAAAAATATCTTCCTTCCCTGTGCTTTGAGTAACTCTCCTTTTACTACTGGCCTCTTCTTCACCCCCAAGTCTCTCCTCTAAGAGATTGCCTGTCTTCTCTACACTTCTGTTACTCCATCATGGATAAACCTCAATGCATGTATCCACAACACTTCTGCAGAGAGCTTTATCCAAATATTCTTAACTGAAATCTAACTAAAATGTACCCCTCCATCCTCTTGATGAGGTTTATTTCTTCCCCCACCTTTCCCAAACCAAGAGGAAGAGCTGGCATTCTTCTGATTACCCATGACAATGTTCAACCAGGGCTTGACCACCATGCTGTGATAATTTATCCTCCACCGAGCCCTGAGCCATTTCCCACTACTTCTTCCTCCCCCTCACTCCTACCTGCCGTTTTCTTCCCTTCATTTATTGACTTCAATAAAGGCAGCAACCTTCTTTTATATCCTGTTATTTAGTAAAAGATTTGTTTCAAATATTTTTAGTTACAGAAACTTACATCTGTCAGCCCTTGCCCCTGATGGGGTTAATTCATTTGTTAACAAGTTTATTAATTGGTGCATTCAGTCATTCATTGGTTCATTCAGTCATTCATCTAAGTATTTGATAAGAAACCAGAATGTGCCAGGGACCTATAAAAGGTGGACAATGCTGGATACAATAAAGAACAAGTACCCTGATCATCAGAGAAATGCAAATCAAAACCACCCCAAGATATCACCTAACCCCAGTGAGAATGGCCCACATCACAAAGTCTCAGAGTTGCAGATGCTGACGTGGATGTGGAGAGAAGGGAACACTTTTACACTGCTGGTGGGACTGCAAGCTAATAAAACCTTTTTGGAAGGAAGTATGGAGAATCCTCAAAGAACCCAAATTAGACCTCTCATGTGACCCTGCAATCCCGTTACTAGTCATCTACCCAGAAGAAAAAAAATCTTTTTATCATAAGGACATTTGCACTACACTGTTTTTCACAGCTCAGTTTACAATCACCAAAATGTGGAAAAAACCTAAATGCCCACCAACCCACAGTGGATTAATAAGCTGTAGTATATGTATACCATGGAATACTATTCAGCCATAAATAGATGGAAACTCTGCATCCTTTGTATTAACCTGGATTGAGTTGGAACACATTCTTCTTAATAAAGCATCACAATGATGGAGAAGCAAGAATCCAATGTACTCAACTCTAATATGAAGATGAGCTAATACAAGAGGTGGGGTAGGGGAATGAGCCAGTTGAGAGAGGAGAGGAAGGAGGGAATGGAGATAGAGGGTTATGGTGTACGGCACACCTCTTGGGGGGTGGGACCTTACCTAACAAATGCAATCAGTGTAAAATAATTCTTTGTACCCTCAATGAATGCCAAACAATAAAATAATAATAATAATAAGAAGAAGAAGACAGACAGACAGATACCCTGCTCTCTTTCGGCTTATAGGGCAGAGGATATAGAAAATGGGCAGCTGTAGGGGGAAGGAGGACTCTAAAGATTATGCAGAGAATGAGAATGAAATGGTAAGTGAGAGAGTGTCTTGAGAAACTCTCTATGAGGTGATGACGTTTAATCTGAAGGACAGAATCTGGGGTTTAATGGTGTGGAGAGGTTTCAAGAATATTCTCTGAGAGCAAGCTAAATATTTAAAATACCTTCACACTTTTGAAAATCTGTGATTCTAACACCACTGTGCTTCAGCTGTTAAGAAATGAACAGGGGAAGGGTCTCATGTCAAGCACTGTGGAAAGCCAGCAGTTACGGGTTTTGTTTGGTTTTTGTTAACTGCAGTACTTTGTTTCTCAGCTGTCATTACCAGTGTCAGAAAACAGGTTTCAGAGGCCACAAAAACATTTCTTAGAAAGAAAACTCTTGAAAGGAAATACATATTCATATTGCAAATCTGAAAGTTCCTTGCAACTGTCTTCAGATAAGCTAGTTCTCAAACACGATTCTCTGTGGCTCTCATGAGAACACAGACTAA